ACCACCTGCAAACTCATAATTTTTTTTAATGATTATATCCGTGTGGATGACGCCCAAGTTGATATTATCCTGCGGAGACCTCGAGACCGGATTGTTACACTTCTTGATGCGGATTGTTAATATGCTCGGCACATCGACTGCACTTTCATCTTTTCTAGATAACAAAATTTTCCTTCAAGTTGTCATGCGACTGAATAGAAATAACCGAGAATTCCTCAATAATTTTACTCCACTCCACCGCAAAATGGCGGATGCTGCATTTTCATCGGTTGACATTCAGCATTCTATTAATCACTTATTATGCCATAAAAGCTTCAAAATTATAGTGTATTTCTCGATAGGATGAAGCTGAAACTAGCAGAATATTCGTCAGCGGAAAATTCCATTTAGGGGATATTTAAGTGCAGGAGAGTCAAATAATCACATGTACAAATGTATTTTAGGTGCAAAAGCGTTTGTACATTACTTAATAATATATTAGCGCAGCGTGCTTTAAACTTGACTTATCGCACAGTGTGACATAAAAACATTTGTACCCCCTAGATTCACTTAAGACAAATCTTCTGCTGTCGAATCTTTTTCTAGTTTCAGCTTCATCTCCATAGGTTTATTGCAAACAATAGAAGGATTCAATGTTTTCAGTCCGATCGGTATTGGGCCTAGCGGGCTGAAATTTTGCATAAAGTACCGAAGTCCGCTTAAACGTTCCGCGTTACGTCATGAATATTTTACATATTGCAATATTGCAAGAGCATAACGAAAAAATCATGAAAACAATAAAGACTAGAAGATTGACGATTCTTCTACGCGATTTAAGTAAGTTCATTTATTGCGACAAAATCATACTTGAGTACAAGAATATTTTAAAGCATGAGGCCTTTCTCGGGTCATGTGAGTTGAGATGCCTGAGAGAATTAAGCAATTGAAGAAAATTTACTTGTTTTAAGAAAATATGTTTCAGATATTAGAGAATTTTTTTCTCAGTTTATTGTTCAAATCACGAGACGAGGATAGGGTCATGTGTCAAACGTGCATGGGGATAAATGAGCGAGCGTAGAGACATTTGACAATCCAGGTTTATGGTCGATTATTTATTAAAAAATAGTAATTATCATGATTAATATAAGTTAATTCTAATTTTCAAGTTTTTACTTTGTAATATCGAATTTAAAATATCGCATCTTTACACTCATTTCAATAGAAATATTCGATTAATGATGTGTTCAGCGACACGAGCGTAGGATCTTTTTTTTTCAACATTTTTGACTAATCGTCGTCTTTTCAGACATAAATTGAGACAAAAATCCCCAGCATCGACTTTGTTTTCCTGTTGATTTGGCGTGGATGTGCTAATAGGCTATACAATATAACGTCATATGCAACGATTCCACTGGTCGAGATTCTACGCGAAAAAAATCATCGTCAGAAATTGTGAAATGTCTTTCATTACTTCCGGGAAAATTTTCGGAATGACCTTTTTCGTAACTTTCATTTTTCTCTATAAGAACACTTTTTTCTATATAACTTATTCTATTGAGATATTTCCAAAAGAATTTCCTCGGCTCAAATTTTCTAAGTTTTTTCGTTTGATTTTCTCGATGAGAAAAAAAGAAAAAAAGAATGAAAAAAACTTGGAAAATTTGAGTCGAGCAAATTTTATAGAAAATATATGAAAAGAATAAGTTAAATAGAAAAATCGAATTCTGTTAACTGTTTCTATTGAATTGTTTCTATTGAACATGTCAATAGAATCAGCCAAAAACTAGAAAGTTTAATAGAAATTCAATAGAATTTCCTAACGAATTCGATAGGTTTTTCTATTAAATTTTTTCGTGCGTGAAAGGGCTCCAAATGAAGATATTTATTCTCCAAGACCTGACCGCAGCATCTGGTTTCAATTTTCCGAGTGTTGAAATAAAATGCTTCAATATCCTCAATTCCACGAGCAATATCCTCGACTCCAAATTTATTTTTTTCTCCGTGCAATCATTCGACGAATAAACGTAATATATATAATACCCGCTGTGGAGAGACGGGCGTCACGTGTCGTGAGAAATAGATCGGTTCTTGTGCTTTCACTCTGGCTAACTGCCATTCGCACTGAATATTTGTTTATTTAACATTCTCCCACGATCTCTTTTCAATTCTACTTTTTTTCAACCACTTTTGTTTTATCATTCTTATTTTATAAATTCTTAATGATCATTATCCTGAGTGATTTATTACACGCGAGTTGTCGTGTATTTGTTTTATCTGAGGTTTTCTTTTTGCTCTAGGTTCGATAATTTGTCTCCCTACACCGGGTGTTAAATCTTGGCCGGATTGAATGGACCTTTGTCTGCGGGATTGGTTTGAATAATGATGCGGTCAATTCGGGGTTCGAAGGGACCAGAACAAGATACGAGGGGTCCAGTAGAGGCGACAAACCACAAAATGTAAAAAAATTATAAAATCACGTCGGGGTGACGTGCTACACTGGTAGAAATTTCTTGAAACTTCGTGGAAAATATTATAGTAAATCTCATGGGAGTGACATTGAATCGTATTTAGGGAAAAAATGTAGTAATGTGGCGAGACACTTTACGAGACAAAACTTGGGAGAGATGAACTCGGTCTCAGTGAACATGGAAATCTTTGCTCTCGTCTCAGTCTCGAAATGCGCAGTATCGACTCCTCTCGTGATAACTCCAAGTCAATTTATCTCGTCTCGGCCTCAAGTTTTTTATGTTTTTTAATGTAAAATGTCGGTTTTTGTGTCGGTTTGTCTCGTCTCGGTTTTCTACGTTTAAAAAAGCGAAAAACTGGAAACCGACGTGAGATAAATTGTCTCAGGCTGATCACGAAAGGAGTCGATAGTGCGTATTTCAAGATTGAGAGGAGACCAAAAATCCAAAGTATTGTCTTGTGATGTCTCGTGAAATGTCTCGCGGCATCACTAACAAATGAATATGGAATTTCAAGTTTTAAGTAGAATTCACGGAAATTCAAGAGTTTTCAGTGGGAGTGAAATGGAAATTTCACAACTTGATTAAATTTTCAGTGGAATATGAATATTCAGAAACAAAATGACATGGACTTTCAATTTTTCCCTGAATTTTCCCGATTTTTATGAATTTTCACAGAATAACTGAACTGAAAAATCAAGTATTTTATTGATTTCCATATCATTTGAACAGAAAATCAATGGAATATTTTATTTTTCAATAACAAGATTTCGAATTATTTTATTTTCCATTGGAACCAAAATTATTCTATTTCATTAATGATTTAATGAACTATTCATATTTTTAAGAAAGTAGTGTCCACTTTGGCCCATTTGCCCTCATTGAATAAATTTTTGAAATACGAAAATTGGATTAAAAATATAGAAAATGAATTTTTTTATTTTGAAAAATGATTGAAAACTGAGAAGTTGCAGCCAATCAAACAAACACCCGCATTGTCATGTCATAATGCATTGTGACATCGCGATGCAGACGTTTACAATTCCCTGCAACTCATTAAGACAAGATTCACCCTGGGAACAACATTTTTTCGTTTTTCCAGAACAAAAAATTTTTTAAATACCATTTTCCGACTGATTTTCCTCCGTCTCCAGCCACTTAAAATTAGGAACTTCAATTTGTTTTAATCGAAAAGTCAACTCGACAATAATTCCCAATATATATATTTTTTTATAGTTTTTTGAATATGATCACAAATTTCTACTCGTTAATTATAAAAAATGCGGGAGAAGATAAATTTTGAAATTTATTCGTTTATCAAAATTTCTATTATCTCAAGAAAAAAAAAAACTGCCCAAGTATTATGTATAAGCTTCTTTTATCAATGCTAACTCTATGTTTAGTGATCCTCATGCATGTACCTAGTCTTTTACCACACTATACTTGAGAGGACTCCTCTCAATAATCCAGATATCGCCAGCGCACTTCCTCGGTTCCATTAATTTTGCATTCTTGGTATACAAATTCACTCATTCTAATTGATACTCATAAAAATCCATTGATCCATTGAAAACAACAACTTTTTTTGGTTGACCAATAAACTTACAAATGCATCTCCCCTATTTTTCATAATTAACGAACAAAAATTTGTGTTCATATTCAAAAAACTATTTTTTTTCAACTCTACATTGAGGATTTTTTCAAGTTGATTTTTCGATTCAAAAAATTTTTAAGCTTTAATTTTTAGCGGTCGGAGACAAATTTGACCTACAAAATCGGATTCCTGAGGAAAAATCACGCAATAAACACTATTTTCTATTTTTTTTCCTCGAAAAAAGAAAAAGTTCTTTTCCCGAGGAGAACCTCTCTTTAATACATCATTCCTTATTAAAATGAGAACATTCATCATAAAAAAAACACTTAAAATTTCAGCTAGTCGTAAAAATGAACTTATTCTTTGATTTTTTACAACTGAATAATGCGTAAAAATCTCAGAATCCAGTAAAAATCCCAAGAAAGAAACGTCAAACGATTTGTTTTCAACCCACCAGAATGTTCCTACAACCAGGAATTTCTATGAATTTGTCTAGACCTCTCCAAAATAATCTCGCAATCGAGTCAATCCAGACTCATCTGCATCTGGCACTTGACTACCGAAATTTTTTTGTCCCAGACCAAAAATGATTTTATCTGAGTGGAATAAAACTCCTGTAACCGCTAACAAATTTATTCTAAAAAAAAACAGTAGATCAGAAGATTGTACCTAAAAATATTCCGGCCTCCCGTTGAACGATACCACATTTTAATTGCCTCAAGTATGTTTTTTCCCCCTATTTTAATCACAACATTTCAACAGTTTAGCATTAATTTGGAGCCAAACGAGACTGATGTTATGAGATAGGATTAAATCCCGCAAAATCCCCGAGACTACGATCCAAATTGACGATCGTTTGTTACGTCACACACATCTCACTCTCGACCTGCATTCACAGAGGCGCACACATACAGGTTACCACTACTTTCGTTTTTTCATTCCGAATGTCAAAAGGTACTTACGTCATTTATGGATGTTGAATGTAGAGTTCAGATGATTGGATGAAAGATCCTCAATGGTCTTCATGTTTCCATTGCTGCTGTTGCCTTTTGTTTAATTCCGCCTCAACGATATTTTCCGTTTGTTTTTGTTTTCCAACGCACACGATTTTTTATCCGCCCGCTGTGACGATTCTTCCTTGGCAATTTTGGGTAGGAGGAAACTGTCGTCACTTTACCGGAGCACTAGAGGGAATTGAAAAGACGATTTTGGTTATCTCTGAATGTTTAAGAGGTTCGAGTAATTATGAATGGAGTATAGGTAAGTAGTGCTTTTTATTTAATGGAGGGGGGGGGGAGAGATAATTTTCTGATTGAGACCCTTGTTCGTCAAATTGAAAGCATTTTTTTTATTGAGTGATCTATCGCTTAAGGGGCGGTTCACCCCGGAATTTTTTTTTTTCGTTTTTCCAGGGAAAAAATGAAAAAATACTATTTTCCGTGCGATTGTTCCTTAGGACTATGATTTTGTACATTGTTGGAAATTTCTTGAAATTTCAGTCACAGTGTCATCTGAATTCTCGATATTGTGAGGTTTCATTCAATTTCAAATGAAAGCGTTCATTAAGTTTTTCGTTCATCTTGAAAATTCAAAAAAATTGGGTTTTTCATGTTAAAGAATCATTGATTTTTCAATGAACGCATGAATTCTTAAACGCATCGTGAAAATTGAACATCACATACAATTTAATTTTCAATAGATTGAGAATTCAGAAAAGTTGTTGCCTCAACTTTCAAAATTTTCGAGGTTTTTCAGTATCGTGTGGACCTGAAAATCGAGAATTACTTGAATATTCAAGAAATTAACTCACTCGTCAATGAAGAAATATGCAGGAATGTCATGTAACTTTGTCGTTGTGAAAAAATACAAACTTTTTCACTAGAAACTTCGAGAGGAATTTTCTAACAGTTAAGGTCGTAATTGTCTCCTGCCAGTCAAAAGTAGAGAATCGAATTTTTCTGACGCGAAAAATCTACTTGACAAAAATCCCCAACGTTTTTTTTTTTCGAAATATTTTTTGAATGAGATTTGAAATTTTCGCTCCTTAATTATGAAAAATGCGGAAGAAGATGCATTTTTAAATTTATTCGTTTATCAAAATTTGGGTTAATATCTGAAGAAAAAAAATTGTCAATTGTGATTCTGTTGTCACTTCACCAGAGCACTAGAGTCAGTTGAAAATACGATGCTGATTATCTCGGAATGTTTAAGAGGTTCGAGTAGTTATGAATGGCGAACGGATAATTATTGTTTTGTATTCAATGGGGGGGGG